AGAGTATTTTGCACACAACTATACTCGTTACAATTACAAATGACGGTAATTTTTTTTTTCTCTCTAACTCTTTTTGAGACTATTTAGACTAAGTTCTTTTCTAAATATTTCAATGAATATTTTTGACTCAAAGATAATTTGCTCTTTTGCACTTGTATATTTCTCTTGCTTGTTGTTCGTCCTACTAAATCTTCAAGTCTTCATGACTTTATATAGATGATCAAATGTATCCGTTGGAGCAGGATAATTTAATTTTTGAATTTTGAATCTTGTAGCCTGATATTGTTGACAATATGATATCTTCATCTTGATTGATTTCCAACTTGTGTCTGACAAGATAATATTTTTTATCAAACTTGATTTTCAAGTTGTTTCTAAAAAAATATCCTCTTCTTCTTTGATCACCAACGTCTCTCTGACAAGAATTAAATCTTCTAACTTGATTTTCAAGTTGTTTCCAAAGATAATATTTTCTCCATGCCTCCATGTTCCTTGTCATAAAGATAATATTAATTTTTAGCGTTCTGATCATGTCCTCATGCCTTTGGAATTTTGTGACATGTGGATGAACTTGATAATTCATTCGAATTATTTAGCATTCTCCCTTTCGTGTAACTTCTGATTATCTTGCTTATTTGTCACATCTTGCTTGTCTTAATTAAGCTATGTCTTGCTTCTTGCTTGATTTGATTCCTTTGATTTGAACAAATAGCCATATCATGCTTGAGATAGATTGCCATATCTTGCTTGTCTTCAAGTCTCGCTAGTATCAATCTAGGTCATCTATTGCTTGTATTAAATAAGATATATCTTGTTTGGGCTAATAAACTGACTTCATGCTTCTGAAGTGAATCGGCCACTTCTTGCTTGTTTAACCACATCTTGCTTGTTTGACAACCTTTCACTTGGAGCAATTGGATCACTACTCACTTGTTTGACTTGGCCACTTCTTGCTTGTAGAAGTAAGCCTAGTTTTCCTTAAAAGAATTTAGCCTAAAAAAAAAATCTTCAAGGAGATTCAATCTTGAGTATATCAAGAGTTTCAAAGTCTTCTACCATTTCGCCATTAGCTCATTCGATTAACCACCATACAAACAATGATCATCAACTGATTTTCTGAGCGAATACTCGTAAGACCAAAATTAATTTTCCAAATTAATTTTGTTCTTCTATGATTCTTCTTTCCTGGCTTTATTTCTGGCTTCTCTCTTTACACTATGATGCTTATACTAGACCATAAGAATTATGGGGATCTAAAGATACATTTGGCTCATCAAAACTTTATTACAAAAATATTCCTATCACTATCTTTGTGTCATAACGGGAGTTAGACATAATTTAGAGCACACACAATTGCACTTAACTGTTTCACCTTGGGAAAGGGCAAATTAGTTGAGGAGTTTAATTCTTGATTGTTGCACATCGGGAGATGGTAGTAGTTAAGAATTTATTATGAATGCATGTTCTTATATTGTTTATTGTCTATATCACGGGAGTGAATATTCACATGCTTCAGGTTAGAGATTACTGGGAGTAACTCTTTCCCTTGTTTCATTCTCACACTTGTTTAAATCCAAACCGTATTACATTTAAGATTGACACTAGGTGATTAAACATTTGAATCCTAGAAATCGTCTTCTCTGATCTCTATTGTTTTCACAACCCTGTTGTTTTTCTTTGTTTTAGTTATTTTATGCAACCATACATGATAATCATTAGGATTAGCTTCATAAGAGCAGATTAGTAGCTAGTGCTTACGCCCCACTTCCCTATGGATCGATAACCCGATACTCCGGGTATTTGTTTGAGAATTATACTGCAATCATTGAACAACCTAGTGTAACAGTTCATCGCCGACTTTGTATTCAAGGGGTGATCTGTTGGTGGATTTTGTACTAAGGGGATTTAATTAGTGCAAACCTTCATGCGTTATGAAGAAAAGTCGAGTATGCTTAGTTGACGTCGAACCACAATAAATATATATATATATATATATATATATATATATATATATATATATATATATATATATATATATATATATATATATCTACTTACTCTATCATTATCGCACATCATCAAACCCAACCTAATGTTTTTACAAGAAAACAAACGTGCAAGTATAATTGAAAAGGGTTACTAATTTATTTCCGATGTGCATAAAACTCTGAATTTATAGTTAAGGCTATCCTTTGTATAAACTTGACTATTTGCGTAGAAATTTTAAAAATCTAAGTGAGTCTATTCACCCCTCCCCTCACCCCAACTCCCGCTAGACTCACTCGCTAACCCTACAAGGACCAACAAAGTTATCTAGAAATTCATTGCCTATTGTTAAAAAAGTGCATTGTATAGTGTTAAAAATTGCACGGCAAAATTGTTGATAATTAAAATAATTTCACTTAATTTTTTAAAAGTTGGCGATAATTACAATAATAGCACAACAATTTTTTTAAATTAAATCTGATCCATTTGATTTTTACAGATATAAGGCTGATTTTGGTTCTTAGTTTTCTCATAAAACATGTTCTCATAAAATCACACTCCTAGTATATATGGAAGGGTTTAGGTGAAAAGAAACTCCAATGTAAAAAGTGATGACTGACCTGATCCATTCATTTGAGTAGATCAACAATTGAAGGGTGCTAAATAATAAGGGGGAAAGGAGCGGGGTCAATTTTATGCTTAAAGTTTGTAATAATTATAAAGCTAACTCCATATTTTTTTATACTAAAATCTTCAATCATTGATGAATGACTACGATTGATCATATGACGGCAGACAGGGCGGAGGCTTGGCGATAGTGATGGCCGAAAGTTTATATACTTATAATATTCTTAAATATATATTTAGGTTATTTGTTTTGATTTTTAATTTTAATAAATGTCTTTTTTCAAAAAAGTTTTAAAACTTTGCATATGTGCGAGAGGCCATATAATGCCACATAGGATGTTACTAGCATTTATAGGTGTAATTAATCAACCTTTGAATTTGAATGCACGAAAATCACAAGTTGATGTATTTAATTGTTTCTTTTAAAAGATCAGGTGTCTAATTGACTTTTCGTATACAATTTAAGGGCTTATTTGATCATTTTTCCTTGTACTTATAAACAATAAACTAAATGTACATCATATGTATTTATATCCACTTTATAGTAGGTTCATAATGTTCATTATGTGTGAATATAAACAAAGTATAATGCACACAAACTTTATACTAAAGTAATGACTTTAATTATGTACTTATAAATTTATTTAAAAATATGTTAAAAATTTATCAATATGATCATTTAAAATATCTAAATTAGTGCTTTTTAATGTACTTTTTATCCACCTATGTGAAAGTAGGTGCACCCGATCAATGAATGTTAACAAGGCAAAATTACATGCACTTGTAGGTGAAAGTAAAGGCAAAATTACATGCACTTGTAGGTGAAAGTAGGTGCACTCTATCAATGAATGTTAACAATGCAAAATTTCATGTAAGTAAAATGTATTATAGGTGCAAGTGAAATTTACACTAAGCATCAATACGTGCACCTAACGTTATAACTAGGTGCACTAATGTTAATAAGGTAAAATTACTTGCACTTGTAAGTGAAAATAGGTGCACTTGTAAGTGATTTTACTTGCACTTTTTACTTGCAAAGATTCACCAGCTACTTGCACTTATAACACATTTACTCGCACCAAAGTTTGAATTATTTACAAATATGCCACCGTGTCGTTTTTTTAAAATTACATCTGATTCGTTAATCTAGACACATGGATGGTTGGCATACATTCGCATTTCTCTCCTGGACGCCTATTCGCACAGGAATGCGACTATATATATATATATATATATATATATATATATATATGTATATATGTATATATATATATATATATATATATATATATATATATATATATATATATATATATATATATATATATATATATATATATATATATATATATATATATATATATATATATACATATATACATATATATATATATATATATATATATATATATATATATATATATATATATATATATATATATATATATATATATAGAGGGATGTGTTTGGATCAATGTTGCTACATGTATCTTGATCTACGATATAATTTTTTTTTTTTTTTTTTTTTTTTTTTTTTTTTTGGATCAGAGGGGAGGGGGATACCCCACACAACTAAAGAATAATAGCTCCTTCTTGATTACGCTGAGATAATCGTCTCATCGATGCAGCTCCAAACCGGTCAAGTGAGACCATTTCCTCAAGCCCCTGCGGCGATGACTCTAGGATGCAAAGACTACCCCTATGCAACGCCGCCATGGACGCCAACTTGTCAGCAAGCTTGTTCTGTTCTTTGTAAACATGCTCGTACCTCACTTCCATGAAACTCGCCGCTTCTCTCATACACATCCAAACAATGTTGTGAGATTGATTCTCCATCCCTCACCCTTCCAAAGAGTGTCCACTATAGACTTTGAGTCTCACTCGAGGATGATCTTCCTGGCTCCATACTCTTTCGCCGTCAGTAGTCCCTGCAGTATACCCCAAGCCTCCATCGCCTCAGCCGAACACCTACCAATTCTGTACATGAAACCCCTTCTCCAATCTCCATTGTCATCCCAGAGAACACCCCCACACCCCGCCAGGCCATGTTGCTTACAGCTTTCGTCGACATTTAGCTTCAACCATCCCGCATCCGGTTTTGCCCAGACTAGTTTAGAGTCTTCTGTTCGATCACTTCTTCGCAACGGCCACCTTCTCCCTTCAAAGGCCTTGTTGACCTCATTATCATACTTACGCAGCCAGTCTATCTTATGATCAATAGGCATGGATTTACCATTAAAAACCTCCTCGTTCCGCCACTTCCACAGCCACCGGAGTCTGACTCCAAAGCGCTCTGGCCAGCCTTCCTCGAAACCATGCTTTGTGTCCCCCTGTAGGTTCACCGTGAACCATTCTGACCAGTCGAGACTCCTCAAGGTCTCCGCCGTCTGCTTGTGTAGTGAGTGTTCCCATATTTTTCTCTCTGTAATGCATCTTCTGAACAAATGGTTAAGGTCCTCGCGCTGACTTGCACAAAGCAAACAACACTCATTAGATGTGAGATGACGCCTGACACGCTCATGGTTAGTGAGAACCTTCGCATGTTTCACAAGCCAAAGAAACATAGAAATTCTGGCTGGCACACTCAAAGCCCAAATAATCCCCCAGACATTGTCATCACCGTTTCCTTGGGGTGTGGCGATCAACCCATACGCTGACTTCACCGAAAACTGTCCATGTGGATCCGGACCCCAGCCCCACTCGTCCTGCATGCCTGGCTCAGTTAAACGATACGCTGCCAGCCATTCTAATTCTTCTTGTGGAAGAACCTGTTGTAGATGTTCCCATTTCCAGCCCCTAGCATGATCCCAATAATCGTCCACAAACGCATAGAGGTTGGGGAGGCTTAAAGGACCAAGCAGCTTCTCTCGCAAGGGCCTCGGGGATAGCCAAGAATCCATCCAAAAATGTGTAGACCTACCATCCCGAACGATGTGCGTAAGTCCCCTCTCCAGAACCTCACTTGCACCACTGATTCCTCTCCAAACGTTTGAAATTTTCCTTCTGCATGTAGTGTCTACGTGAGAACCTAAACTGTGGTTGTATTTTGTGATCAGCGTCCGAGCCCACAACGTGTTGTGTTCCGATTTTAATCTCCATCAGAGCTTTGTCATACACGCAGTATTCATAGCATGCATTTTCCTAAGCCCTAGGCCTCCATAATCTTTTCTGGTTGTGACCACATCCCAGTTAACAAGACTCAGTTTGTTTCCTCATGTCTGATCACTCCGGCCCCAGATGAAGCGTCTAGTTCTCCTTTCTATTTCATCAAAAATTCCTTTTGGGAGCACTGCCATTTGCATGGTATACACTGGGATGGCGTTCAGGACAGACTTTGCCAGGGTTACCCTCCCAGCTAGAGAAACAGTCTTAGCTTTCCACCCTTCCAGTCTGGCCGATATTCGTTCTAGCAGTCCCAAGTAGGTGTTACACGTTACCCGACCATGAATGGAAGGCACGCCTAGGTATCTTCCCAGGTCTTTAGTCTTAGCAATGCCCAACTTGGCGGCAATCTCCTTCGCAAGTTCTAGTGGTTTGTTCTTCGAAAAATGAACTTGTGACTTGGCTAGGCTGATCTTCTGCCCTGACGCTATGCAAAACGAGTTTAGGCACTCTTGGACAATCTCCACTTACTCACTTGAAGCCTCGGTGAACAGCACCATATCATCTGCAAAATAGAGATGTGACAAAATTGGCCCCATTTTAGCCAACTTAATACCTTTCCATTTTTTGGTGTCCACCGCAGATAGAATAAGGTGACTGAGCCGCTCCATACACAAAAAGAAAATACCTGGGGACACTGCGTCACCTTGGCGTATTCCTCTAGCCGGTCTAAAATGCTCCAGTCTTTCCCCATTCCAGATGACTGCTAACCTGGACGAAGAAATGCAAGACATAATAATGTTAGTCCAAATATCATTAAAACCTGCCCGTACCAAAGTGTCTCTAATGAAAGTCCAAGATAACCGGTCATATGCCTTCTCGAGGTCCAATTTAATAGTCATATAACCTTTTTTCCCTCGATTCTCTCTCATGGTGTGCAACACTTCTTGGTACACAATCACATTGTCCGAGATCTGCCGTCCTGGGACAAAAGAACTTTGATACGGCTCTACCACCTGAGGTAGAATGAGCTTTAGTCTGTTTGTGATGGTTTTAGTCATAATTTTGTATCTCATGTTGTACAAGTTGATGGGCCTAAACTGCTTGATCGTCTCAGGGGCCCCAACTTTTGGGATAAGTGTGACAAGGGTATCATTTAAACCCTTCGGGAGTTTGTCGGTACGAATTTCCCCAGTGACCATATTGAAGATGCTATCCCCAGTTACCGCCCACGTGTGTTGGTAGAAACCTGTTGGGAGACCGTCTGGGCCCGGGGCCTTGAATGACTTCATGCCAAAAACAGCCTCATGGACCTCGTCTTTTGACACATCCCTATTGAACACCCTCCAATCCGTATGACTAATGCTCAGGAAATTTGTGCCTATAGTTGATCCATCCGCCACCTCTGTGGACTCAGTGAACAAGTTGACATAGAAATTTCTGACATGTTCCCGTAGCTCATTTCCCTCAGGGAGCCACGTCCCAGTATCGTCTAAAAGCCCTGTAATCCTAGTCCGCGCCTTTCATGCATTAGCAGCAGCATAGTAGTACGCAGTGTTCCTGTCCCCCGACTTTATCCGGTCCTCCCTAGACCTCTGGAGCCACAATAGCTCCTCTTGATACAAAGTGTCCTCTAAGTTCGATTGTAGCTTCTTTTCCAGTTTGCGTAACCCACTGTGGTAGCTTCGGGCTAAAATCTTTTGGATACCGCCGAGTCTGGCCATTAGGATTCTTTTTCCTTTATTAATATTCCCGAACACCTCCCTATTCCAAGAAATGAGGCCGTCCGCAACCAGCCGGTTATTATCGGCTAGACATTGGTCTGTACTCCACGTTTGTTGAACTACTCATGGCAAGTCCGGGTGGGTAATCCAAGCAGCCTGGAAATTAAACGAATTAATATGATTAGAATACTACCCCTTGTGCAGACGTAACAAAAGCGGGGCATGATTCGAAGCAACGTGAGGTAAGTGTTCCACCAAAGCGTCTGGAAAGCGGGCACGCCATCGAGGTTGCACAAAGCCCGATCTAAGCTGGCCCCTTTAATAGCATCGGTGGACCCATCCTTAACCCAAGTCAGTTTGGGCCCCGAGAAGCCCAGGTCAATGAAACCTTCATCATGGATCTAGTTGACAAAGTCCGAGCTGCATTGCGCAAAGAAAGAGCTATAGTTTCTTGTTTCCTCTCTTGCAATGACGGAATTGAAATCCCCAGCCACCAACCAAGGACCTTGTGGGCCCTGTTTTGATTGGGACAAGTCTCTCCAAAGGCGCCGTCTCAGATGGTGAGCCGGACTACCGTAGACTGGCGCAAACACCCAGGGCGATTGACCGCTGTACGGCACCTGTAGTAGAATGAACTGAGGGTAAGTGAACAAAAATGAAATATGCACTGGGTTCTTCCAGAGGACCTAGATCACTAAAGCCAACGGCTTCCACCCGGACCCAGTCTGAGAACCCGAGCTTTGAACAAATATTATTGGCCTGCACTCCCGAAACTTTCAGCTCGAAATGCCCCAGAATACTGGGCTTATAAACCTGCAGCAGATTTTTAAGGGCGTGGTGGACGGACCTTCCACTCGCTCCTTGACAATTCCATAGCAAACAGTTCAATAAAACAAAGCGGGAAAAAAGGAACAACAACAAACAAAACAAACACAAACAAAACAAGCCAAAGGAATGCAACGGTAGAGGACAAACACTTAGAGGCCGTTGTTGGCCCCACACCCTCGTTAAGCACTGAGATCCCTTCTAGGTCCATTACCACGTCCCCTTCGTCATCAACACGCTCTGGCGGGTCAGTATGGTGTTCCTTCGTGGGCTGCCAGACCGGTGACGGAAGATCGCCTGCCTCATCCCCGACAGTAACTCTTGTCGAGTGGATTACCAGTTCGCCTTGTTCGCCTCTAACGACCACATGCTCCTCTTCCTCCGCCGCTCGCCGGGACCCCACTCCACCACCTCGTCGTGCACGTGTAGCTGACACCCCCTCCTTTGCCTGCGGTCTGGTTACTTCCATCGGCTCATTTAGGATTTGCTTTTCAGTAGCTATAACGTTTGGTCTCCTCACGGCAACACCCACAGCCACCCTAGCCTGCGTTTCCCGCGATGAACTTGCGCCTCCACCGACTTGGTAGTCCATCTGAAATCTTAATCTTCATTACTATATAAATTTCCAACATTGCGCCCCCACCTGTTCCGCACCATTGCTCACTGCCAGGCTCTCCCCCCTTGGCCGTCACCACCATCCTCCAAAAAGTACTCAGTAAGATACTAATTTGTTACACATAATTAAATAGAATAAGAAAATACATCATTAAGTGCCTAACTATTTACCAGTTTTTTTTTTTTTTTTTTTTTTTTTTTTTTTTTTTTTTTTTTTTTTTTTTTTGAATGCTATTTACCAGTTTAGATTACTTAATTATAATTTTTTTAATTTAAAAATGTACTTGTACTATTTGCTTAATTTAGAGAGAACACTTTTTTCAACTATTTTTAATAGTAAAAACATTACTGGTACTTAATATGATAGATCATATTTAACTTTTCATCAAAATTAAATTAATTAATGGTACCCGGGTTGGACTTCCATTTGGAAGGTTATGAGTTCAAGCCTCAGTGGAGGTGTTATTAGTTCTTTGTGTTTCAGTAGGTTGAGAACGTATATGAACAAATACTACAATGTAATAGAGCCAGTAACATTCAAAAAAAAATTAATTAATTAAGGGTCACACTTGTGTGAGACCGTCTCACGAATCCTTATCCGTGAGACGGGTCGGGTTGGATCAATATGCAAATGTGAAACTAATTAAAATAGAATAAAATGTTTATTACTTATAAGAAAAAATGTAATACATTTACATTTTACTGTAAAAGTATTACGGAGTACTTTTTTAATTTCATCAAAAGTATTATATTTTACCTTATTATTACTTTTGATGAAAAAAGTAATACTTTTACATCAAAATGTAAAAAGTATTACATTTGTTTCAAAAGTATTGCATTTTTTCATATAAGTAATAGACATTTTATTAATGATTTACTATTACATTTGCTAATATAAGTATTACATTTCAATTTGATCCGACCCGTCTCACGGACAAGGACCCGTGAGACGGTCTTACACAAATTTTTGACTTATATTTTTCTTTATAAGTAATACTTTTGATGAAAAAAACTAAATATTATTTTACATCAAAATGAAAAAATATTACATTTTCTTTCAAAAGTATTGCATTCTTTCATATAAATAATAAACATTTTTTCGTGATTTACTGTTACATTTGTTAGTATAACTATTATATTTTATCTGGACCCGACTCATCTCATAAATACGTAAAAACTTGTGAGACAGTCTCACACGAGTTTTTGCCATTAGTTAATTAGTCAACTAGAATGTGTAATCACTGAAAAATTAATTAGGGGCGGAGGGGGGAATGATGATTGGGGCAATGGGAGTTGTTACCTATCAGTAAAAAGGAAGAATGGGTGGGCACAGGCTAGAAGTAAGCTAACGAGCAATTATGTCATAATTATTGTTGTGTAGTTGAGTAGCCGCTGATGCAATATCATGATGACATCTCAGTAACTTGGAAGTTGACTTTTCCAACTTACTTCAACTTTACTTATTCCTCTACGTCAAGTAATATTTGTTTGTTTATTTTGTTGTTTCTTTGATTGGGAAAATTTGTTAGTAAGTTAATTATCATGTTCCCACATCTTCCCCAATCCCGCTAGTGGAAAACTTTTTTAGGACATCTCCAATGCATCAAAAAAGGGGAGAAAGAAGAGTAAAACGAGGGGTAGAAGGGAGGGACTAGGGGGAAGGTATTCTCCTAAGAGACCGCAGCTCTCTATAGAAAATGCCTGTCCAGACGCACAGCCGGGGATGACCATGCACTATAGAAACTGAACCAGAGCTAGAATGGTACTGTATGGTTCTAGTTTCGGTTGAGAACCGGAACGCAAAGATTCCGCCGCCCCCCCCCCCGTCCCCCCCCCCAAAAAAAAAAAAAAAAGAACAATGCTATTAAGTGCAGGTCCAAATTTTCAAAAAAAAAAAAAAGTGCAGGTCCAAGATTATTTTTATGATTTTAGTTTAATTTTACAGTTTAAATATTTAATATAATTATTGATTAAAAATTCGGGAAAAGAAAAAATTTCAAAAAATATTAATTGTTGCATTCGGATTATTTTAAAAATTGACAATAAAATTTACAAAATAAAAATAAAATTAATCTGGCTCGAACCGGCAATTAAACCGAAACCGTCAGTTCCTTTTTACCCTTTTCCAAAATCGTTAACCGTCGATTTGGAACCGAAACCGAACCGTGGTCACATATGATCTACGCATAGCTAACACGCGCCAATCATATGGCATGTGCTGGCCATGCGCCATATTGACGCGCAAAGGGTGGAGAGACAATGCTCTACCACCCATTGTTATATATATTAGTGTCGGCATCTTTTCCGTGCATCAAGTGTGTTACGATGTCTATTGCCCTACATTGACTGTTTTAATAATGACTTTATGTAGCTACGTAAGATTATGATATAATTAACATTTACATATTATTATCAACATAAAAGCATACCAGCCCTTCATGTGTTCTGCTCGGGGTTCATTTGGTTCAACTATTACTGTGTGAATGTGTTATTATAGATAAAGAAATCCAGAAATCCATAGTTTAAGGAATAAGATTAGATAAAGTAGTAAAAATTTGAACATTTTAAATATGATGTAGTCCAAAGATATTACGAGGTAGTTTCTCGCTTCAATTTGTTGAGTTATTTGAATACTCTCTTTGTCAGCAAATCCCTCAAGTCGTTAATATGATTGACTTCAAACTATTAATAAAATACTTGGTAAATAAATATATAACATTATTTTGTATTATAACTTTGATATTTAATTACAATATAGTGTAAAAAGAAGATAATAGACACTGTAATGAATATCAATTGATGAATTTGAATGTAAAGAATCTTTGCATTGGAGAAAATAAAAGACAATATAACTAATGAAATTATTATCTTATTTAATTTATTGATAATGAATAATTTTTTTTTTATAAATAAATGCATTGTAGACACATAATTCTAAATTAAAGAAATGCATATGTACAAGATGGAGATGGTAGCAGAACCGCTCTCGGAGGTGCCCTCACCGGCGGCAACCCATCGGTCGCCGGAGGACCAAGACTTGCTTGAACGGAGCACCAAGAAAATGAAGAGAGACCGTGAGCAGTTGGAGCCGTCTCTATCGCTGCCCTCGGAGGAAATTGTCCCTAAGACGGTTACTGGAATGATGCCCCCAGATTCGATTCAATGGAAAACACCCAACGCAATTCCCGGGAAGTCTTGGACGTGAAGAGAACCGAACCAATTTTAGGGGAAGGTGGTGGTTTTCGACGACGATGAGTTGGAGAATAACAGAGTTACTTCTGAGTTTCCGATGATTCTAGTCACGAAAGAAGATAAGGAGAGACTTAGAAGGCTTTGGCGCCGGTCGTTGATAATCATAATATGTGGAAGCCGGAGTCGGTCTTCGAACTCATAGCCCTGGACCAAGACTATTTCATAGCCAAGTTCGAGTCGCTGAGGGCTACGAATTGGCCAAATTTGAAGGCCCTTGGTTAATCCTTGACCATTATCTAGTGGTACAGAAATGGGAACCAACTTTGACCCCATGGATAATGTGTCCAAGAAGCTTCTGGTGTGGATTAGGTTTCCGACGTTGCCAGTGGAATACTTCGATGGAGATTTTCTCAAGAAGATAGGGAGGGAGATCGGCCGGCCAATCAAGATCGACCATGTAACCAACCTTGCCACGAAAGGGAAGTTCACAAGAATGTGTGTGGAGATTGAAATTACCAAGTCATTGTTATCCAAGATTGTTCTTAACTTCAAAGAGAGACTGATTGTGTATGAAGGAATCCATTTGGTCTGTTTTAAATGCGATTTGTATAGGCATCGACAGGAGCAGTGCAGGGATGGGATTGTTGAGGCCGGCGTCAATGTGGAGCAAGAAGGCAGCATCCCATTGAGAACAGCCCCACGTGCCTCCTAAGAAATATGGCACTTAGATGTTGGTTACGCGAAATGAGAGACGTACTCGGTATAGGCCTCCAGCTAATCAACCCAATGCCCGTCCGTCTGGAGGAAGGCATCAAGTTACCCCCTGGAATAGGGTGGTGTTTGAAGGAATATGAAGTAAATCACAATTTGCCTCCCTCGACGGCCTAGGAGAAGCTCCGATGGAACCAGTCTAGGCTAGGCAACAGAGAGCTGTAGAAGTCTAGTATCCCACTAATGTTCTTCCAAGGATTAAGACTAATTACTACAATGTAAAGCAACGGCCGGACCAAAGAAATGCTGAGGGAGATCATATGGGTGGTTAGCAGATGGAGGTTCAAGAGCAGCCGTAAGTGGTGACCCGTGGGGGCTACAGAGGATGTCTCAAAGGTAGAGGTGGAATTGCCAACCGAGCAGCAGCGGAGGCAGATCACACAGTTGTCCTGGGCTCTAATCAAGGACGGAATATCTCTAGTATGATTGTTAATCACTCTAATTTTCACCCGAACTCCCCATCCATGATGGGCCTTCTAAATGTTTTTAAGGAGAACCCCCCGGATAACGCGATGGAGTTCACGAAAACTGTTGAACCTACAGATGAGGCTATGATTGAAGCTGACAGGGCTGACAGAATTGACGAACCATTTGGTTCTTTGTCTGATTGTCCCATGCGTTCTTAATGCTTGTTTGTTTTCTCTCTTGTTTCCATGATTTGCTTTGTTTGGAAGTGCTAGGGTGTAACACCCCATGTTACGACCTTCAAATTTGGATTAATTATTGAATTTATCCCGTTAACGAATAGTTAAAAAGGATTTAATTTGGCTAGAATCCCCTTAATTAATTAATGTGGTCCACAATGGATCGTGCACCCTTACCTGAATTAGAGCCTTAGGCCTGTTAAGGATAAAGAAAGTGGGCCTTACCACTCAGATTTCGAATAGGATTTCTTATACTTATAAATAGGGATTAGAAAGCATTTAGAACCTCTCTCACCTCTCTTAGACATGAATCGCCCAAGAAGCCTAGCCAAAGGAATTCCCCACCACCAAGCCTAGGGAAATCGATCGGAGGGAAATTTTGGAAAAGAACCTTAATAGCCAATGGAGGATTAGTTATGGCTAAGAAGTAACCCATGTCTTACAAAACCTATTTTCCTTGCTATTGTTTATTGATTGGCTCCGTTGAACGATTCAATGTATGATTTTGTATTTGTGCTTTGTTAGATCCTGTCTTTAGGAATTTGTGATATGGATTATTGTTATTTTTGATCTTCTTGGTGGCCCTATGTCACCTTGGTATGTTCATGTATTTAATTATGTTTAGAGCTTGTCCTTAGGGTTTGTATTGTGAATCTTGTTGTTGTGACGTTCTTGATGTTCTTGGGTGGGTTTATGCATGCTCGGGTGTTGATTCAAGGTTAGGGATTGTCTTTAGGGCTTTGCATATAGATTTCTTGATGTTATTGAGGTTCTTGATGCTCTTGGACCATCATGTGTTTAGTCTCGTGTCTTGACATGTTTAGGGATTGTGTTTAGGGTGTAATGGTGGTGTTTATTAGTTTGGTTATTATTGTTCAAGTCCATGTCGTTGTTGATACGTTTTGGGATGTGTTTGGCCTTGATTTTGGGTTTAATTGACGAGTTCCCGAAGGGGAAAAATGCCGAGTTACCATTGTATCAGCGGGGGGTCGACGAGGGGGGGGGGGGGGGGGCGAACCCCCACCTGACCACCCGCCAGTACACGCCCTTATACCAGCGGGTGGTTGACCACCCGTCGTGTACCCGATGGTACATAGTCGCCCACCTGCGGGTGGCCGACGGGTGGTTGACCACCCACCGTACACCCGCTGGAACGGGGCGGCGTGTTGTGATGTTTTACCCCGTTTTGTGTTTCCCAGTGTCCCGTTGTACCCCGTTCGATGTTTATGAGTCTCATATGATTTTTCTGAGTACCGTTTTATGAGTTGTGCGTGTCGTGGTCATTGTTAATGTGGTGCTTTGCTTGTTGTTGTTGTTGAGAATTGATTATCGTTGTTGACTGAGTGTGGTTGGTTGTTGTTAACACGGTGCACCGGTTGATGTGATTAGTTTGTCCCTGAGGGCAACTGTGATGAGATTGGTGGAAATGAATTATTGGCGGTCAGCACAACGAGTGCTCGGTCATTGTGCTATAGGCACAGACCACGCTTGATTTTCTTACTAAAGGCATGGATCAAGTTACAAGCGCTGCGGGGCCATGTCTTTGTGCTACATGCAAGACCCCTTGATCACTGTGCTATAGGTACAGATCATGTGTTAATGGTACTGCGGCGCTACTAGATCGGTGGGTTTGTGGAGGCAGGTCGGAGGGAAGCATGCGTGCTCCAGAGGGATAAGGGAGGCGTTATAAGGATGGCCTAGAGGTACAGGTTGGAACTGAAATAAGGATGGAGAGGAGGAAAGGTGGGAACTTGGTATAAGGTTGGATGATGGTTGTTCTCTTTGTTGAGTACTTGTTGTGGTTGATTATTGTTGAGCTCCTTGTTGCCGTTGATTGTTATTATTGAGCTTTGTTATCATCTTATCGTGCGAGCTTAGGTTGCATGTTAGTATGATTATGTTGTTCTTCTAGTGTAAAGTCTGCTTTTGTGTCTTAAGTCTTGATCTTGGTTTAAAACTAGAGTTGTTCAGGACTATATATGTATTCCTCAGACTCAAAATGATTTCCTATATTTGTACTTAATGTACTCAACGGGTGGGAGTGGGTTACTCAGCATTATTCGCTGACGGTTGTTACACCATATGTTTTTCAGGTACAGACCCGTAGCTTCGGAGTGCGCTAGATAGATGCAAGGACTCAACTTAGATAGTTTTAGTCTTGGTAGATGGCCTGAGTGCCTTGACTTGTATTTTAGATATTGAACTCGAATAATGTTCTGTTTAGTCAGTTAGCCTGTGCATCTAAGTTCTCAAGCTTGGATATGGCATAGCACCCCAACTCTTATGTTTAGTTCTGCTCTGTTTGGGTAATTAATGATAGATTCGCCTTTATTTCATAAGGTTAAAATGTTTTAAAAATTAAGGGTGTTACACAGGGTGTGGCTTCAGCTAGTTTTAGGCGCACCCTTAAACATTTTTGCAGGATTCACGATCCGGATATCGTTTGTGTTCTTCAGCCTAAGGTTTTGGGCAGTCATGCTAAGGTATCGTTTGCATGCTTTGTTGTCCCTTAAGTCCCATTGCCTATTCCTAAAGTGTGGAAAGGGACAACTCCCTTAGATTAAGTTTCTGGTGTGTTTGAACTATAAGGGGCATCCCACACCGCACTTCTAAAGTGTTGAAAGGGAAACAAGGTTTCACTTTCCTGCTCTTGTTCACACCCGTGCGTCCACAGTAAGGAACATCGAGAACGGTGTTGTTCTAAAGTGTGGAAAGGGGTGCACTCTTACTAAGGAAAGGAATGGAATTGGTTGCATCGTTTTGAAAATGTGTTTTATGATGCTTAGTTAGCTAAATTTTTGGAATAACTTTGAAAATTTTTCCTCTTACACCCTTAGGATTGTATAGGGCCCATGTAACACCCCGTGTTACGACCTTCAAACCCGAATTATTTATTAAATTAATTCCGTTAATTAAATTAATTAAGAGGGATTTAATCCAATTATAATTATCCTAATTAACCCGGACGGTCCACAATGGATCGTGGACCTTTACCTGAACCAGGAA